CACCAGTTTGTTTAAAAAGGTCAAGGCTTCCTGGGGGCATTTACCCGGCGCCCCCCCCCCCCCCCCCCCTCCTTGGCCTTGTTTGCCATCGGGGTTTGGGTTTTTGTCGCTTGGCAACGACGTTGTAAAACAAGCCCCCCCCCCCCGGTGTTTGCCATCGGGGTTGGGTTTTCGTCGCTTGGCAACGACGATGTAAAAAAAGCCCCCCCCTCGGTGTTTGCCATCGGGATTGGGTTTTCGTCGCTTGGCAACGATGTTGCAAAACAAGCCAATTCACTTCGTGAACTCGGCAACCAGGTTACCGGTTTTTTTTTTTACCTCGTTTTGTTTTGGCGGTAACCATAATGGTGGTCGAGTAGATCATGTTGTGGGGGGTGGAGAACCCTCACTCCACGCAAGGGGGATGATTGCACCAAGTTGTGTTAAAATGGTCAAGCATCCTCGAGGCAGTTACACAGTGCTTACAACTGTCTCTGGAAGTGAAAGCACCAGAAAATAAATTAAGTCGTACGTAGCTGTCATCCGTAAGCAAGGAAGTAAGCACAAGATGCCGAACACCCTTAGCAGGATGCAGCTCACCCTTCATGCGACTCGCCAAATACCTCACGGCGCTTCGCGCTTGGTGATGTGAGAGCCTGGTCCGGTGAGAACCCGGCGTGCTCCGTCCCGGCTTTGTAGGGATGCGAGGTCAATGGTCTAACGACTACGGCATGCACGACTATGAGTACACCCCCCCCCCCCCCCCGTAGGGACACATTGCTTAGCCGCCTTGGTCAGAGTAGGAAGGAACCAGTAGCCATCGGTGAGGTCGGCCCTGTGGGAACATTGCTCGGTTCTCTCGTGGTCAATGGTCAAACCGCACAGGCACGCAAAACATGAGAATAACCCGCCCATTTCTCACCAAAATAACGGAGAACCAAACGAGGGTCCACTTCCCATCTCCGTAGTCGTTGAGGCCCATGAGCGGGTACGCCAGCACCGCGAACGCCAGCGGCGGGACCACCCGCACCAGCAGGACGTCGGCGAGGGCTACGGACAGGAAGTAGGGGAAGTGGCCGTACGCTCCCCCCATGGACTCGGAGAGGAAGAGTCTTCGGTCTTCCCGCCACACCGGCAGCGACGTGAGGGAAAGAAGGGAGAGGTACAGGAGCAGGAAGAACAGGACTCCGAACCTGTACCGCATGGGGGGGGGCGCCGTGGGACGCGGTGGGGGGGTCGAGTGGGTCGGACCGCCTCCGCGAGGATACTAGTCTATGAAATAGAGGAGGGGGGGTTCGTATCCCTATCCCCAACCCTAACCCCACACGGTACCCCCTACCAAAAACCAAGAGTACATCTTCGCGGAGGCTACTGAGCAAGTGCTTCATACATGGTATCTCTCAAGACCGGTCAATTCACTGGAGGTTGAGAGCACCTACCGCGGCTAGACTAGTACCGACGGCACACACACAGGTACACACACACAGGTACACACACCTGCTTTGCGCCCCGTCCAGCGTGAACCCCAGCCTCCCCTGGAAGATGGTGCCGAGGCACGCCGCCATGGCCACGGCCCCGCCGAAGTGGAGCAGCAGCAGCAGCGGGTGCCTCGCCGCGCGCAGCAAGAGCCTCCTGCACAGCGCCTCCGTCTGGACCAGGAAGCCCGCGGTGGGGGTGCGCCGCCGCCTGTCCTTACCCTCCGCGCAGCAATCCAGCCACGGCGCCTCCTCTTCCTCTTCCTCATCATCCTGGCGCCCCCCCGCCGCTCCGGCCACGCTCTGCGCCTCCAAGTCCCTGTGCTGGCTACCGTCCCGACGTAAAGACTGCCGGCTGGAAGACATCCCGCTCCCGGGTTCCTCCGCGCCACCAACACAACCACCTTCGCCGGCCCTAAGAAACGCCGCGGTCGCCGCCGACGGCACGCAGTAGACACCGTTCTCCACGAAGGCGCACCGCTCGAACAGGGCCGGGAGAGCCCCGCCGTCCTCCCTGCAGCAGAGCGTGAGCATGGCGTCGGCCGGGTGAGGCTGCTCGGCGGGGAACGGCCGCCCCACGGACGAGAAGTAGGACTCGGACCCCTGCGGGCTGCCGAAGTAGGCCACCTTGCCGCGGGACAGGAGCATGACGTTGTCCAGGAGGTTGAGCACCCGGGGACGCGGCTGGTGGAGGCTGCACAAGACCGTAGTGCCCCGGGAGGCGACCCCCCTAAGGAGAACCATCACCCTAAGGGCAGTGGCGGCATCTGTGTTGTGGTAATAAGTAAGGAGTAGGGCAGGGGTAGTATTGGACAAGATGTTGGGGGGGGGGGGGGGGGCTCTACCAATGCCCGGCAGTCGCTCGCGAATATTTCCCCGCCCCTCCCAGTGGACAACACCCGACACGATCGACAACTATTGGCACGAACAGGAGGTCCACACGCATACGGTCTCACGCAGCCGCCGATGCTGTTTACCTACCCGTGCTTTATACTTGTAGTAGAACATACGAGTACAGCATGCACATCGCCATCAGTCCTTTGTTCTCACCCAACCCCGTCGTGGGCTCGTCCAGGAACAGCAACGGCGGTCCCGCCATCAGCTCCGCCGCGATCGACAGCCTCCTCTTCTCCCCTCCAGACAGCCCCCTCTTCCGGGCGTCCCCGACGCGCGAGTCCGCGACGCGGCTAAGCCCCAGCTCCGCCAGCACCGCCAGCGCCCGCTCCCGCCGCTCCGCGTGGCTGGCTTTCCTCGGCATCCTCAACCTAGCGTGGAACATGAGGTGCTCGTAGCAGGTCAGGGTCCCCGGGAGGACGTCCTCCTGGGGTACGTACCCGGCCACCCGTCTGATGTCTTCGGGGCCCCCTCGCCCCCCCCGGCCGTCCAGGCTCACGGAAACGTGGCCCGACGCGCGGCCCTCGCCGGACCGCTTGCGTCCGGCGAGGATGTCCAGCAGGGAAGACTTTCCTGCCCCCGAAGGCCCCAGGATACCGGTGAGCGTGCTTGTTGTTGTTGTTGCCCAGCAGCCTGCCGGCTGGTTGCCGGAGAACGCCGCCGCCGCCGCCGCTGCTGCTGCTCCGGTATCGGCGACGGCAACGTCCGTCGAGGTAGCAGAAGCCGAACGGGCGGGGAACCCGGCCCTTCCGTCCAAGAATGCGCCCGACAAGTTCGAAGACATCGATAGCGGCCTCCCACCGCTGACAACGGAAGAGGCGGCGCCGTCGCCGCCTGGATACGTCCCAGCTGCGGCGGTCGGTCCGGCAAATCCCGACACCCGGGACAACACCGGCAGCTCGGGGTAACGGCACCCGCTGGCAAGAGCGGCGAAAACGCCTCCTCCTCCGCTGTCGCTGCCGCGGGTCTTGACCGCCACCGAGTAGCTCAGGTTCTTCCACTCCAGCACGGCCGGCGACGGCGCCGGGGTTGGGGCGGCCGGGGGCACCCCGACTCCAGCCACCGCTGCCCCCGCCGCCGCCACCGCCACGCCATCATCATCACCGGCGGCAGCCTTCTGCTCGCCGCCAAACGCCGCGCTGCTGCTAGCAGCGACTCCTCCTATCGCCGGTCCCCCCTCCCACCCCCCGACGTTCCTGGACTTGGAAAAGCAGCAGCTCTTCGAGTCCTTCCGCGCGGAGCCCCAGTCTGTGGCGAGGGCGAACAGGCAGAACAGGAGCAGGAGCAACAGCGCTCCGGCGATGAGGATGATCGACTGCTCCGACGTGCCCAGGGGCGGTTCTTCCACCACCGTGTCCTCGATCGGCACCTCCTCGCCTCCCTTCGTCGTGCGGCCGGCGGCGGCGGCAGCACGAAAAAAAGGGGACGACGGATTGGTTGGCAAGAGATGATGACCCGACCGGCACTTCAGAGATTGCCGGTCATGTAGAGAAACAGTTTCTTGCCACGAGTCTCTGAGACAGGAAAAAGTACCACAAGGCGTATAGACCAGAGCGCGAGGCGACGAACAAACTGTGCTCTGCCGAGACACACAAGAGAAGAAAGGGAAAAGCTTTCCCGCGGCGAGCCACGATCTCAGCAGCCAACCCGATTCTGACACGTGGGGTGATTGCTTGCTGCTCTCGCGGTAATTCACCGCCAACAAAAACACAACGGTGTGGTGACCTCGCGACTGACTTACCTCGTAGAGGCAGGATCCTACGGAGCAGGTCAACGAGAGCGGTGCGAACTCTCCGGGCTGCTGGTACCAGCAGATGTAGGTCCCGTCAACCTGCCGCCGACAAAGCACGGCGACGACGACGACAAACAGAAATAACGGGGTGTAAACCTCGGCTACTGCTGTATGTGCCATGGACGGCGGAATCCTAGAAAGGATCGAAGAAACCCTGTCGTCTTTTCATTGGTCAGCGCCGCCGATGCTGACAATAAACACATACGCACACATGCAATACATCGCCGCCAACTTCTCGACAAAAACTTTCAGTTACCACAACAAAGGCGTCACGAATACTCGACGCAAATCGATATCCCGACGAGCATGAGTGGACACCAGATGTCGCGAGGAACTCAACGAAGTGTACAAATACCCGCCCGGCTGGGGTACCCCCGTCAGCAAACGCTGCTACAAGTTCGAGCATCCAAGGCGCGTCGCGGAGCACCGGAGGCGGCCAGGCAAACAACAAAAACATGGTGCTGCGGCTGCACGACGCACACACGCAACGTGCAGTCAAACCTCTCCCGACAAGAAAGCACGCGATACATTCGCCGCCGCCGCCGCCGCCGCTGCTGCTTCTACTGCTGCTGCCGGCCTGCGCGCCGAGATTCTCGTCATACACGACAGCTACGCCCGGCAGTACGTCCCGCCCGGCACTCTACTTTTACACCGGCCTCCGTCCCCTCACTCCGTCGCACGCACCTGCTGGTCTTGGCAAGCGATGGTCAACGCCTTGTCGCTGGCCGGAGCTCCGGTGCACGTGTGCACCTGATACTCATCTCCGGAATCGCTGACGCACTCCGGGAAGCTGCCACGCGCGTGTGCATTTATTTTTCGGACGGCACAGAGATGGGAGGGTGCTTGGTGAGGAGGGGGAGGGGGGTGTACTCACGTTTCGTAAGCCTTGTTTGGCATGCCTTAGCGGTTAGACCATTGACCACACGCCCTCGAGAGGACAGAGCCTTGTTCCCACGGGGTGGGGGGGGGGGAGGCGACGGCGTGTGCGCCTCCTAGCTTCAGAGCACCAGCGCAAAGGGTGGGTTTACTTTGGGCACCTCCGAGCGGACGAACGAATGTACAAACACAATTGCCAGTTGAGAGGTGTGTGCGGTACAAAAAGGACGACATGTTCTCGAATGTGTTGTGGGCGTTGACTTCCTCAACGCAAGCATTGTCTCAATGCCACCGGCAGAAGCGGTGGTCGATGCCGTTATGGTTGCGTGTGATTAATCTACCCGTGGCTACCTCGCATAGCGTGTAGAGGCGAGCGGAGTGGCCTAGACTGTTTATCGTTGACTTCTATTGGCTTGCGGACCCTTCGGGTCCATTTATTTTCGTATACTTCCTTTTTTTGGTAAGTTAGCCTGTGACCACGGGAATCGACCCCGTCAAGTGTTAGACTATTAGTACGTACAGAGGAAGGTACTGGGCAGAGAGAACGGAACGGTTTTTAATGTGAAGACAACAACAACAACTAACGAGGGTGAAATAAATTCGTTGCCGTTGGGGGAAGAAAAACCAACAATAGCAACGACAACAACAGCAACAACAGCAACGCAGACAACAACACCACAGCCACCAACACCACCACAAGCAGCAACAACAACACCACAGCCACCAACGCCACGACAACAACAACAACAACAACACGAAACGCACGAGACTCTCACCCGTCACAGACCGGATACCCCTCGGGCGGGCAACTCCCTTGCGTGTCCTCGCAGTCGTACCGAATGCACGTCTGTTCGCCGATATCGGTGTCCGCAACGGGAAGACACGGCCCTCCACTAACCTGAAAGACAAGACAAAACAAGACAAGATCAAAACAAACACAAAAATGAGAGGAATGAACAACCCAATGCAGAAGCCATACATGTACCGTATATGACACAAGATAACACACCCGCTGGACCGATTTTCAAAGCTCAACAGCAGAAAGAGTCACAGCGCTGAAAATGGCGGCGTTGAAGCCGTCTGGTCGAGAACTCTCCGAAAACGTATCGTTTCGTTCATGCATTCTCTTCGTCGTCGAGTAATCGAGCTCTGAAAATCGGTCCAGGGGGTGTGTTATATTGTGTCAAATACGCACGCAATAATTCGCAGCTACAGCATCAGACGAAATCAAAAAAAATTAAAACGAGGAAAGGACAAAACAATGCAGAAGCCATTCATACTCGACGCATGCAACTATTCGTAGCTACGGCAGCAGCACTATCACAAGCCGCTACAACGCCCCGCCACCGCAACGTGCACCCGACACATGGCGGACTCTTCCGGCGTCAGCTTCTGTTCTGTTCAAGCCGTAGCTGTGATACGCCGCACGTCTGCCGGTGGCATCAGCTTCGTCGCGGGCGTTGGGTTGGCGATTGAGGGCGAGCTCGGGTCCTGAGAGAGTCAATCCCCGATCTCTCACCGTACAGTCGGTAGCCGCCCCTTCGTAGATAACCGGATAGTAGAAATCATGCTCCCCGGGCCAGGCTTCCCGGATCATCGTCTCCGTGCCGGCAAACTCTGGAAAAAGAAAAAGACGTGGTGGAAGAAACGAGTAGATCGAGAGAGGGACAGAGGGAAAGAGGGACAGAGAAATACAGAGAGAGAGGGTGGGGGGGGGGGGGGGGGCGCCCTAAAGGAAAAGAGGAGGGGGGGGGGGGGGGGGGGGGGGATGTTGTCCGGCCCCAG